AACCAACTCAATTTTGCGCATCGGAAAAGTTGCGCGACCAAATATGCGGACCTTGGCGTGTCTTCACTGAACTCCCAATAAGCAGCATCGATCAACTCTGGTTCAGCCCAAACGCCGGTGGACCACGTTTTGCCCTCGTACTTTGGAAATGGGCGATAAATGATGTTGCCAGCGGCAATTGCAATCAAATACGAAGGAATCGGAATGGGCTGTGTAACGCAGAACGATCAATGACGGATTTTCTGTGAGGGACTGAAGGCAAACCTGGTCATAAGAGTAGACCACTGAATCTTTTCCGATGACTTTCCCGTCGTGTGGAGGGCCGTTTGAGGGAGGGGATACTCGAAGTGCGGAAATTAGAACGGGGAGTTTTGATGTAACCTTTGCGCTATATTTCTTGATGTGTGTCAGCAAACGGATGTATCGGTGAGTTTTTGACCACGTACAATTTTGACTGATGGTGTATCTAGAAAGATGAACTTAGGATTAGTCACAGTTGAAAGTTGGAGTAGAACCAAACCTTGAAGGGGTGCCAGTGCACGAGCGTGGATTGGTTGGCATTGGCTGAACACATACGGGAACGTTTTTCCCTGGGTTTGTCTTATGACATAGTCAGCGATTTAGTGAACCTAGCAACACGCAAAAAAATCACTCTTTCGCCAGCCATTGCAGTGCCTCGCAGTCTTTCGTCGTGGAATAAGCTATCTTGACAGAGATAGTGGCGTCTTTGATCAACCCCTCTGGTAACGGTACTTCCAGCGCTGAGCCCATGACTGGATGTTTTGGACCAACTTTGAACTATGGTCATCTGCGAGTCAGTTTCTTTCACTCGCAGCGTTTTGGAATGATCACTTGCTGAAGAGGGTTTTCCGGCTACTTCGACGAATGAGACGTCCAGATCCCGTGTGTCGAATCTATGACGGGAACCGAGGTTAAGGATTAAATTGCAAAAGGGACTTGAAAGAGACGCACATCACTTCGGAAACACCATCCTGCTTGACGATGAGGGTGTGTGTTGCGTTGCCCCCCAGGACGCTCGTTTCCAGATCAACATTCCATTCGAAATTAATACGATCTGTGGCTATTTCCAGGTAGTTCGATTGTGTAGTAGGATCTGCCATGCTTGTGAAGAGAGTTGTTGGGAGGTTGGGGATGTGTAGGCTCGTGACCAACCGTTTCTTTCAAACTCCGCAGGCTACGTTCAGAAACGGCTGGGCCGAACGGATTGAGTCATGTCGAGGTCACACTTTGTGACACGGGACTTAGTGAAATTTCGTCAAATTGGTACGTTTGCTCTGTATCGACCGTCATCTGCCCCTGACCTCATCACTCCCGTTCCTCGTCGTCCATCCAGCCAACATCGTCTTCACCCTCGTCACTATCCGACTCATCTGTATCGACAAATTCTTCATCTTCAACCATAATCTCGTCCATATCAAGCACCACATCATCCTCAGTCAACCGCGGTAAGGTTTCATCTGCCACGCCGTTCTCAATGTCTTCAAGAATTTTGTCAATCTCGCTTGTTTCATTTGAGGCTGGCCCTTCCTCGAATTCTTCCTCGTCCCCCTCAGCAGCTGGAATTAAAGGAATTGGAGATGTAACTGGGGATGCGGGTGGAGGCTGTGTTGGGATATGTGCTGTGGCGGCCTGTTCAGAGTGTCCTTCGAGAGCAGCGAGTGATACTGGTTTCATCTTCCGCCGTCTTTGAAGCCTTTTGAAGGCCGCATTATACTCATTTAACGGATTCTTTTCACCCGCCGTTAGGTTTTGTAACCCCACTCCCACAACGTCTTTTACAACTTCTTCTTCCTTTACCATTCGCCCTTTTTGGATTTGATATACTTTATGCTCGTCGAGGCTGCTCATCAGACTTTCAATATCATCTTTAAGATCTGGTGGTGCATGTTTTGTGCCCTGGTCACCTCCAAGAGTGTCGTTCAAGGTCTTCTGCAGATCACCAAGTACGACAACACAGGGTGAAATGGTTTCGAGCCATTCCCATGATGCGTTTGACCCCCGAGCTTTATAGGAAATCTAAATACCAAGAATCAATGAAAGTTCTCATTCACAAATTTCTCACTCACTTTGATCTTGAAATTGAGGTGCTCTTGTGCGAGGTCCATCTCAATATTGCGGTTTGGCAGACCGGATGGATTCACCAACCAGTTTTTCAAAACAATATTTCTATGTTGAAGTTTTATTCGTTATTCTAACAGAGCAAGAAATAACGTACCGGATTTCCTCTGGCCAAACGTGGTTTAAATTATGAATTAGATGAAGCATCTCGTATGCGTATTTTGTTCGGCCATTTCCGCGGAAGCTAAGTGCCCATATCTTCTGGACTAACATAACTCGCCCAGAATCACCTGCCTTGACTGCATCATTGTATTCTCGAGAAACCAGAGCATCCCGCATGAATAGAACTGCATTTTCGAAGACAGCATCTCCTTTTGTTGGCTTTGCATCCTTCGCCTTGTCTTCAAGACTCTCTGCTCGCTCGCTTCGTAGTTCCTCAACCAAAGCTGCATTAGCATAATTTTCGAAGATCTTTGTGGCATGCTCAACAAGTGTTTCCCATTTGTCAACTTTCAACGCATATTCTTCCAATGAACCATACTTCGAAACAAGAAGTAGGCAATGAAGAACACGAGCATAGAGTGAAACAAAAATAAGATTGCGAGAAGTGCAATAGGTTGGAAGGGAGGTCAGGGTGATGGGAAGCCTGTCAATACGCGCATTGTGAAAGCCCAACGTCCAAGCATTTTGTGAGATGGTGTCAGGCTGTCCAAAATGAATCAATAAAGTCCCAAGAGCATCAGCTAATTTTTCGTGGAACAGCCCAGAAATCCAAGCTCCCCAGAAAAATCCCTCATAGCCTTCTTCCTGCCCTGCACGAATGAATTCAAGTGCTCGAAGCCTTGCGATAGAGAGTTGATCTCCACCAAGAAACCTAACTCGGTTGGATGCTTCTGGAACCTCTCTATCAAGCTGCAGCTCTTTTACAATTGCCTCATCCACTTCAGCATTTCCTGCAATGGATGATTCATCAATATTCCAGCTTGGCAATGGGTGGAGGTCAGTCTTGTGAGTGGGAATTTTTTCTGTGCTTTCTGGCTGGTGTTTCTGTAGATCTGGCTCGAATTTCTTGAGCCCGGGACCACCGTTGTTTACGATTATTCGAAGGATGGTGTAAATCAGGTTATTTTTGAATGTCTTCTGCTCTTGAGGAGTGTGGAGAATGTCCTCCAGTTTTAATGGTGGTGCATTAAGGTAAGCTGACTGAAATTTCTCCAGATTGATGTCCTCAGGTTTTGCATCGAAGAGTGGGATTACTGTAGCAGCTGTTCCATTCTCCTGGGTGTCTTGTACATATTCAATACTTTACAAAGTGTTTGGAGAAGTTAGACACACCATGACGGCCGACAATTTGCTCTGAAATTCCAAAGTGAAGGTTAATGTTATCGTACACAACTGAAAAGAGCCCTGTTGCAGCCAGTTCTCGAGCTTCAGAACGCATGGAATCAGATAGCTGGTGCAATGTTCCTGTATGTTGCACAATTTCTGTGGATGGAGCAGCAGATGGCATTTCGACAAACGGATTCGGCTCTTCAGCTGTCTTGATTTTACGTTTACATCGAATATTCTGTGAGGTTAAATTTGTGTAACTCTCTGATAGACCGAGTGTAGACAGGACAGTGATACATTGCCGTTGGGCTCCCGTTGCATAGAGGTATAATCCAATCATCCGCTTTGCCAGGTTATTTGAATGACTGTATTCCCCGAGGCAAAGCAAGGCTGCAAATGTTGTTACCTGTACAGAATAATTAAATAACAGTTCAGGCAATGAAGGCTTGCATACCATTTTTGTTCTCTCTTGCCTGTGCTCGGTATGCATCTTGACACCCCTAGCCGTTGTTAATGCTGCAAGCAGGCACATTGAAAAGGGCGCTAGGGAGGTTGTGAGTCTCTCGTGAATCTTCCTCAAGTCAAATGTCTGGATGAGTTGTGCATTGATATTGCGGCCCATCGTCTGAAACTCTTTCAATTTCGTTACGGCGTGAGCTTCCTGAGCCATGGTGCGAGTAGCAAATCTAATGACCCATTCCCGAATTTCAGCTTTGGCTCTTTTACCTCTGTTTTTTGCTGACATCCACCAGTCGAGTACCCTTGGTGCATTGCTCTTCCTGACAAAAAACTCATTATAGCGGATGTTCCCTTGCCCATTCTTCGGGTTGAATACATATTCCATCAAGTCCCAGAAACGAAGGCCATTTGCTTGAAGAGTCTCCAAGCTGTTTTGGAGCACCACCTGCCGTCTCTCCCTGTCGGCTTTCCTCGCATCTTCCTTCTGCTTCTCAAGGGTGAGGAGACGCTTGGCACACCCTTTCCTTATGCGTATGGCCGCTTGTTGCGCTTTTGTACCAGTGATAGGGCTACTTCGCCGTGGGCCGCTAGATGGAATTTCAAGAATTGATTCCTTGTCCGACGAGCCTGCAGATCCATGTTCAGTATCGTCCGAAACATCTGAATCCTCCCAGGCTGAGTCGTCTTCATCATCATACTCAAACACTTCAGAGTCGAAATCTGGAGACTCAACCGAGAACAGGTTGGCCTGGACATTGGAATTGTCATTAGAATGGTGCTCGTCGTCAGACATGGTGAGCTAGAGTCAAGGTGAGTGATATTGTCTAACCATGACGTTCGATCATGATCAAGCTTGGCTTGATCGGCGGCCTGTAAAGGCAATCCCTCTTTTTTTACTATCGACATTCCGACGACATGCTTCCACGTAATTCTTTATCCAACAAGGTCAACACAAAGGCAAAGGTGGCTAATGCAAAGGCTAAACAAGATAAGAAGAAGACTTGGGCAGGTTTAACCCTGGAAGATTTGAAAACCCTCGGTCAGAAGATAAAGGAATGCTTTAAATGGAACCACTCACCACAGGAGTTCCAGCTCGACACTATCAAGGCCCAGCTACTGCGAAAAGATGTTCTTATCCATGCCGGTACGGGGTCAGGGAAAACATTTGTTGCAGCTGGACCTCATGCCCATGAGGCGACGAAAGGTATGGTAACCTTCATGGTATCGCCGCTGATCGCGCTACAAGAAGAACAGGTTAGCTGTCAGCGAAATACATGTTTGGTTGATGACATGTCTACCCAGGCAGAAAACTTTCGCAATGAATTCAAACTTACTGCTATCGCAATAAACAGTGCGCATGGGGGCTGTACAAAAGAAATAATGGCGGTACGAAACNCGTGCCATGCATTCTACTATAACTAATCAACAACAAGGATGT